TCAACGGAATGTAAAGCAATAACAACCAATAGTGTCCCATTGTTCCATTGTAAGAATGAATGAGATACATCTCAATACATCAATATAATCTATATTACATATACATGTACTTTAATATGAGTGTGTGTGCATACCTGGCTTGTAATAGATGTACTATTATACATGTGTAATTTATATGCTTTATATGACATATACTCCACATATTAAGAATGTGTATAGGTGGCTTGTAACAGGCACATGACAGCCATTGTTATGAGGAGATGAAGATCACATAATTTAGTTTGAGATGAGGTTTAGAAACTCACTCACTGTACATGTACATACATGTATAATCTACCTTCCTTCCTTATCAATGGTGAAGATTACATTAACAATTACTGTACACGTTACTGGTATTTATTAAGATAAATGTAAACATACAAAGCTTTCTATAATAAACACTGTCACTATAATATCTATTGTTTGTTTGTTAATGGTTGTTGTTGTTATGTAGCAGCTGTTAATGTACATGTACTTGTAAGCCTTCAGTAATCACTTCAAGTGATGAAACCTTTTACTAGTAAACCATTTCCCTCCCAAACAGCACCTGCTCCACTCACTAACCAGTGAATCCATAGCTTCCTGGAGCTCTCTCTGGGAGGACATGAACTTTTGGTGTTGGTCCTAAAGGGGGACACGTTACCATGGCAACAGAGGAACATCCCCTACTTACCAGTGAGCTTATGAGTGAATCCAGTTCATTTTGTGAAGAATCAAGCTGATTCTAATGGAGGGAAAAACAAATAAACTTATACAGTATAAGGACTTCTTTATAATGAGAACATTTTGTAATGTCCCAATTGGTACAAGCCTATACAAAAGTACCTCTGAAATGAGGACACCTCTGTATTCAGGACAGGTAGTTTGAGCACAAACATTCTCTTACTTTCAACGATTCTCTTCTCTCCCTGGCGGAACCGGGTGGGGTCTTCTCTTGATCTGACCCCACCCCTTCCCCAGTAGTGGGTGTGGTCTCCTCCTCCTCCTCCTCCTGGCGGTGCATGTCCGACATTTGTTGTAGAGATTGTTTCAGTTCGTGAGATTTAGCGACTTTCTGTAACAGCAGAAGAGTCTGACTGATCTCGTTCTGTGAGTGGGTGAGTTCTCGCTCCTCTTCTATCGTCTGTACAGCTAGTGGGTGTGGTTTCTTTCCTTTGTGTGGCAGAGGGCTCCTACAGTGTAGCGGTGAGGACTCCTTTGATGCTGTTTCTTCAAGAATGGTTTCAAGAGAGCTCATCCGGTCAGGAGGTAACTATGGAAACAAAGGGAAAGAAATACAGCAAGAACAATCATTGTATAATGTTACTGTAATATAAATTCAGTCATTTCTTTTCTAAATTAAATAGTAAGTCATTTGGTACAAAATGTTCAGTCAAAATCAAACAGGTTCAAACTCAAGTATACATGTACAGGTGGTTCACTCACTGGTAGGTGCCCCTCCTCATCGTCCGATATGAATTGGGTTAAGTATGACTCTAGAGTACTCAGGTCCTCCAATAGGACACTGACTCTAGGAGAAGCACCAGCTGGGGCATCATCCTATGGAGAGAAGAGATTATTATTATTATTGTTATTATTATTGTTATTATTATTGTTGTTATTACATTGTTGCCAGTTAGTCCACCAGCAGCTGCTAATTCATTCAGCTCTTGTAGGAGCAGCTGTATCTTATCAGCACTTCTCTCCTAAAGAACAACAACACAGTATGTAGACATAAGACATAATTAAAATAAACAAATTCTTTACATTAAACTATCATACAATACATGTAGCTACATGTAGTTATATCAATGCTAGCATGAGCACATGC